TAGTGTAAGATCTGATTTTAATCTTCTATGAGCCAGAGTATTCAAGTTGAGAATGTCCAAAATAGTTTTTTAGTTACATTCACCAAGAATAAAGGTGGGGAAGAGGTAGAAAGCCCAAAATCATTCTTTCCCAAAAATTTAAATATCTTAATATTCTGTGAAAATTGCCATATGTAATAACTTCAATTTCAGCAAATTTTTATCTTATCAGTTTGTTTTTATCATATGCTTTTTCCCTGCTTTTTTGCTTTGCTCCTTTCATGTATAATTTTGTATTTTATGACATTATACATACCTATTATTATCATTACTTCCTGATTGTAACAATAATAAAATAAAAAATCGTATTGATAAAAAAATTTATTAAAAATATTCAACATCAACATTGTATTGAAATATCACTTAAACTACATTTGTACTATCTATCTAGTCATGTATATAGATACATTTCGTCGTCAATAAAAATAAATTGTGAACCAACATTCGTTTACAAAAGCATACATTATTTTATGAAAATGTATTTCCTACCAGATCAACTGAAAGAAACTGTATATTTAATATTTCGACTAGAATGCAAATGAAAAACACTAAGTGTTTGTCTAAGACCAGATTTCATAATAAAATTACATCTTCAATGACTAAAAAAATTAATCCCGAATTGTCAGTTACATTGTACAGTCTACAAAAAAATGCTAGTATCATTACTTCAAAAATATGCTAAAAATATAAATAATCTTTTTTATTATGGAATCCAGCCAAGAGTTGAGAAATTCAGTCTTAGCAATGATATTCGTAAAGGATTAAAGTGATGCCTCCTGTTTTATATTTCGTTATTGGCTGTCACAGTTTCTGTCATAACTCATAATGATATTCATGACAATAATAAAAAAATAAAATCAAATAAAATCAGTAGTTCAATCTTATTTTTGAATTACTGTGGCAAATAACACAGTTATGACAGAAATCAAGACCCAGGTCCATAAAGTATATAACAAACCCATCACTATCGAACATCGCCAATTATGAGCCTTAAAATAAACATGAGGCTTCACTCCAATCAAGTTTGGTTCACTTTCAACTGTTGAAATTTCTGACCTAGCAATTTCATCACGTCCCCATGTTTGAGATTTGGTGTTTTATAAGCCCCGTAATTTTCCTTTACGAACAAAGCAAAACCGGATGCTTCTTTTTTAGGAGTGGCCGGTACCGACTTAGTCTCTCCCTTCTTCGTGGTCTTGTTGATCAATACCTCGAATTTTCCGTAACAATAACCGCACCTTTTCCTTTCCACATCAAGAGATTTGGTATGTCGTCCAATGCTAGAATGAAGCAGATATGAATACATCAATAAAGGAATTGTCATATTTAACAATTACAGAATATCAGAATTTAAATCAAGCGAAAATGGTCGCATTCGACTAAGAAAAAGGTGTTGTTTCATCAAGACAATGTAGCAGCTCACAAATCTATTATTGCAATGACCAAAATTAAAGAATTAAAGTTTGAATTGCTACCTCATGCACCCTATTCGCCAGATTTATCCCCCTCGGATTATTTTCTGTTCCCAAACTTAAAAAAAATGGCTCAGCGGCCAAAGATTTTCCAGCGATGAAGAAGTGATGTTGGCTATTTTGAGAAGCAAGACAGATCTCATTATTAAAACGGTATGGAACTTATTGAACATCGCTTGGAAAAGTGTACAGAACTGCAAGGAGATTATGTTGAAAAATAGATAAACTTTTTTCAAAATTTTTGTGTTTTTTTGTTGCGCCGGGTACAGTAATGACAGTAGTGATCTCCATGAATGAGGTGATTTTCGTTAATCATCTCGCCTGTTGAGGCATTCAAAACGTTTTTCAATTTCAATAAATTCACGGATCATCCAGGCATGGAGACATTTTTCGGTGGCAATGGTTTTGGTGTTTTCCAAGTTTATTGTGTGACCTGTTTCAAACATCATGAACTCCAATTTATATTATTTGTAAGCCAAAACGGCATCAGAATCAATCAAAAATGTTCACTCGTTAGCAAAATCTTTAGAATCTTTCTTGATCACATAAATCTGAATAGATGCATTTTCTTGAAGACAAGTATTCCTTTCATTTTGTAATTGAAATTGATCAAAATAAATTGCTTTCGAGTCCACCAGTGGAAGTTGCATCAAAGTCCAATGATCACTATGAAATCTGAAATGAAAGACAATTGAAGAAGGTATCGAGTCCTCTCAAATGTTATCAGTTGCAAAATATACAGGTAATAACACTAGTTCTTCAGAGACAGACAGAGTTGTCTAGCCATCTGTGGTGCCATCAGTACCACATCCTCAGCGACCATGGAAGTCATGGCATTCTGGGAATGGTTTCCGACATTATGCCTCTGTCAACTACGAACTGCCTTATACAGTACTGTTGCAAATAGTTGTTGGTTCACAGATGAACCAAAACACCTGCAGGTTCTGGTGCAGGACAGAGATATCAATCTGCCTCGGGACCTATGTGACTGTATTGCTGAATGCTATTGAATTGTGTGCAGTTAGATTGGTAGAATCCAACTTCATATACAAGTCAATAAAAATATTCTCGGACAGTCAAGCGGCGTTGGAAGCTCTTGGCTCCTACTGAGCAACGTCTAAATTGGTAGCAAATTGCCAAAAACGACTCTCCTCAATCGGAAGACTCTACAAATTGTATCTGATCTGGATTCCTGGCCATACTGACATGGAAGGCAATAAGGCTGCTGACTCCCTTGCAAAGGAAGGTGCTGCAAGCAGCTTCACAGAACCAGAACCTGTCGTAGGCATCGCTTTGGGTTTTTCCAAACAAACATTGAACACCTGGATGGCAAGAAGATTCAAAGACTTATGGCAAAATCTTCCAGGATTGGCTCACTTCAAGACGTCCATTCACCTTTTGAAGCTTGAAACCAACCAGTTGTTGGACTACAGTAGGGATGAACTATGATGTCTAACATGCCTTCTCAGAGGTCACTGTCGTCTGAATTATCATTTGCAGAGACTCAAACTGTCGGAAGAGAGTGTGTGTCGCCTCTATTTGAAAAATGATGAAACAGCGGAGCAAATACTTTGTGCCTGTCCCACTGCGAACCAAATCATGTTTTCAGAGTTTGGCAGAGCCATACTGTAATCATCTGACCTGTAAGATCACTCACTTTATAGACTAATCGGCTTTGTTAAGAAGTTGGGTTTATTCAGTCGAGTGTGAATAGGTGCGAGCTACAATAAAACCTTGCGGGTTGCGGTGGAGAGGCGAATAGACCCACTCACTTTTGACCTAACCAAACCTAACCTTTCTCTTCAAATTATTTTGATTCAAACTATTCTCATCATGAGCTGTTCGAGATAAATTTTGTTTTCATAGAATGTTATGAAAACATTAGAAATATCTATTTCGTGAAGAAACGTAACTGTGTCATGGTTTCACCGTCACAACAAATTTATTGCAATTTTATTTTTTCAACGTTAGTAATAACATATGTCCTCAATTCATATAAGTCACTGAGGATACACTACAAAAACACACTTTTGTCTATTTTCCACTTTATTTCTTTATTTAACATTTCTTATTTCTTTATTTAACAATAAAGAAATATAGTGGAAAATAGACAAAAGTGTGTTTTTGTAGTGTATCCTCAGTGAACATGAATTTCCACAAAATAAACAAGTCGTCAATCGAAGAAATCATATAAGTAAAATTTTTATCAATTATGAAACCCAAATATTTTATTTCAGTCACAATTTCAATGCTAACATTATTAATATTTATAACAGCATTTGCCCAAACAATTTGATCATACTTATAAGATGATGTCAAAATCATACTTTTTGTTTTATTGACATTTAGTTTCAGTTTATTAATAAATAAATATGTTTCAATGCTATTTAAAGATCTATTCTAACTTAGTTACCGGAATGTGAGTCATAAAAGACAGCATTTCTGTTAAGCTGAGGTAAAAGTTCTCTCAATAGATTAATTTTTGAACCAGAGGTTCCAAATTCTATTCATCAAACAATACCTGTATCCGCATCCACTGCATTTGTAGGTGTATTTCGTATTGATGACATAATCATGACATGTTGTGATTGTCGGCAACTCCGGGAACGTTTTCATAGCTTTATAGGCCCTTGAAAAATAAGTGAAAACTATAAAAAATATTGTAAAAGATTCTCTTAATTGAAGATTAGTCTTTGGAAAAAACTTTTGGCTCTTTACTTCTCTATAATTATATTAAAAATGGGAAACGCCCTTAGGAATGAAAAATATCGAACACATAAATAAAAACTTTATATAAAGATGTGTAGATAATGCACAAAAGTTTTTTTCAGATTTCCAATACGAACTATCCGAAACAACTACTTTCAAATAAGAACACCGAATGTTTTCCAAACACTTGAAGGGTCTCTGCACAACGTAATAGTATATGAAAGCTTAATGATATTAAATTTCATCATCAATAAATAACTACAACTTAGTTGACTTGGAACTGAACTAATAACCCCTAGAAAGATGTCATTCAAAGTGCACCTGAAAATTCAAGTCTTTGAATTGAAAGATCATCTATTTGTATCACACAACTTTTTATTGAATCTAAATCAGTGTTAATACTGCAACTGATTTCTTGAGTGCCTACTATTGTGGTATCAGCAAATATAGTAAATTCACGTTTAACAATAATGAGGGATAAATTGTTAATGTATACCAAGATCAACAATGGACCAGGAACTGGACACTGAGGAACTCCAAAAGTCAAGTATATTTGGATGTGAAGTGATAGTCTCTAAAAAAAGGTGACTGTACATTCAATTGGCCATTTTCTCATGTTGGTACACTCCTCTCGAACGTATTGTGACAATTTAAAGAATTTACTGTCTTAAAAAAATTATATCCAATAATATTTCACTATCACAAACTAACGCTTAATTTATTTCCACTATTTGAATTCTTTGTTAACAGCTCGATTCTTTTTCTGAACTCAACTGCCCTCTTGGGACGAGAAGCCGGCCTTATATATCGGTAACCATCTTTCTAGAATTCTGTAGTCGTTTTGGTACTCTAATTTTACCAACGATTCCCAACTGCATTCTTTTGAGGTGAGGTGACGTGTTTGTTCGATGAGTCGGCTGGCCTGGTGTTCAGGGGCGGCTTCAGATTCTTTACAGTAGCAATAAACAAAGATTAAGGTATTATCATGTATTTATTGTTTTTAGGCAACACTNAAAAAAATGTATCAAAGAATTTGCATCAAATTTTGTGTACAAAATTGAAATAAGTGCTCAAATACACTTGAAATGTTGACAGTGGCATACGGTGATTGTACTCTTGAGTCAGAAAAATGCTACAATGCGAATGAAAATTCCCCTTATTTTTGAACAGACTTCGTATGATTGAAACCAAAGCAACACATCACTAAATCCATGTATTTCCAATTTATGTAATAGAATTCATCCACACTTATGACGTTCCGTCACTCTCCTTTCCGAGATATATTTTCACTTGTAATGCGAACATAGTGAATGATTACTGCTAAAAAAAGTTATTGTTTTCTTGACAAAGTTTTCATCCCTGAAGATAAGGATGGAAAAAACTCAAATTTAAACATCAAAGACAGAAGAAAAGAAAACTGTACTAATTCCAATGAACATTAATTTGATAACAAGGGCATCTTAAACCAAATCAAAGCAAATATGAATATATTCAAAAATTTTCATTGATATTTGTGGATTTCTTTCTGTTACGAATTTTCCTATTTCTTACATATGTGGTGTTCTCGGAAAAAAGGTACATAGTGTGTCAAAAAATCAGTTTTGACTCAACGATGGTTTCGGACGCTTGAAAGCATGCTCATGGTAATTGTATGTTCAAAACAATTCGCTGAAAAATGGTACAGGTCCATGGACGACAGATTCTTCAAATTCTATGATGCTGATGCGAGAAATTTTCAGTTGGGTATCATTCAAATTATCCCCAAACTCAGCATACTCCGTTTCACAATTTTCTGATGAAATATGCAATCCAGAACTTGCAGAAGATTCATCTTCATTAGATACCGCATCGAATATCCCATTAACCGCTCGAACTTTTTATCAAAAACTAGATCCTTTTTGAAATCGACACTCGCGTTTATTTTCATTAAATTGGATTTATGAAAATTATTAATTCACGATGAAATTCCAACGAAAATTAGGAAAGTGAAAGAAAACATTTGTGGTAATGAGATAGCAAAACCGCTGAAGCTACCGCCACACTACAACGAGAATGGATATCGCAGATTATATGAATGACGTCACAAATACCCAGACCAATGATATTAACACCTTACACCCCACTGAAGACGTGTACATAGTAGTTCTACACTGCAAAATTTCAAACGCGTTTTTCTCGAAAACTTGTTTTCGTAAACTATGTACTCTTTTCGGGGAACACCACATACATCTTATTACAAACAGTAATTTTTCCTGAAAATTTATTTTTCATAAATAAACTCACTATTTATTTATTTATTCATTTACGACATTGCCTATTTTCACAAAATAATTAACAAATTCACACATATGTAAGTACTGTAACTATCAGCTAGATGCGAGAAAAAAATATAAAAAAATAAGAGCAGCAAAAATAAGCCAATCAATCACAATCTTTTCAGTTTTTTCAAATGATCCCTAAGAAGAATGTATCTATATCCACATTGTAAGTGTTACAAANCCATTTACAGCGTCGTCACTTCAACCCCGGAGCAGAGGGGTGAACAACCCTTCGAATTTTAATAAGGAACTGGGGGCGATTTGCACATCGTTTGAAAGATCTTGAAATTCTCTAAACAATGGTGTACATTTTTTTTAAATTTAGACGTATTTAAGAGAGTTCTGAAAAAGTATGAAAAAAATTCCTCAATACTATAATAATATTTATCTAGCAGAAGCAAAACTGTTTGTAGCAGGTTAACTTTCTGGTTGAAAGGGGGAGACGATTGAAATATTTTTTGCTATTATAAAGAATTGAGTTTTTAATTTGTGCTTTTGACGGGATAGGAAGAGGAATATTGAATGTGAGACGAGTTGTTATCTTTGTGCTTTTTGTGCATTAGGCAGACAGTTTCTAAAATAAAGAGACAGTAGACTGTTAAGATGTGCTGAGTTAAAAAAAGGGCTTACAGGAATCTTGGACTCTAGCTCTGTTAATGAATCTCACTGCTCTTTTTTGAATCGTGATAACTTGACTCATTAAGTTTTGACAGCTGCTTCCCCAGAAACAAACTCCGTACTGCAAGTGGGATAAGAAAAGTGCAAAGTATGCTATTCTAGCAGAGTGATAGTCCAAAGAGTTAGGGATAGACCTTATCGCATAACAACTTGAGGATAATTTTTTGCATAGTACACTAATATGCGTTCCAAATTTTAATTTGTTGTCTATGTTGAGACCTAAAAATTTGTTCTCTAATTTAAGATCAATGATGTGTTCTTCAAGAATTATATGATCCACGTTACATTTAAAGGACATTATATTAGTCTTTGATATATTGGAAAATAATAAATTAGCATCACACCATTGTTTAACTTTGCCTATATCATGCTATACCCTAATTTTTACTACATCAGTGCTTTTTCCATGCCAAAGTATAGACTTGTCGTCAGCAAATCTTGTGAATTTGCCTTCAATTTGCCTTCACGTTTTGAGATCTGTTCTTCTTTGCTTTCGCGCAACCAAAACTGTCCTTTTTTTGCACTAAATAGTACTGTAATGTATTCAATACATTACAGTGCTGTTTTGTACAGGACAGTATTGTTTACTACAGTACTATTCAGTGGAGTACATTGCTGTACTGCACCAAATAGTACTGTACAACACAGTACTGTAGTGCTATGAATAGTACTGTAATATATTTAGTGTATTACAGTACTGTTTTGTGCATGGCAGTAATGTTTAGTACAGTTCTGTTTAGTGACGTGCAGTGCTATACTGCACCAAATAGCACTGTACAAAAGAGGACTACAGTGCACTAAATAGTACTGCAATGTATTCAATGCATTACAGTACTGTTTTGTACATGCCAGTACTGTTTAGTGAAGTGCAGTGCTGTACAGCACCAAATAGTACTGTATAAAACAGTACTGTAATGTTTTGAATATTGATGTACTGTGCACTGCACTGCCCTAAACAGTATTGTGACGCTTGAAAATGCTATTGTATATATCGAAACACGTATCACCGTTTTGTGAACTTTCAAGTGGAAATTTCACATTCAAGTGTGATTTTTGAATACGTTATTTTCATCAAGAATCGGTCTATTCTATCATAACTTGTGCTAAGCTTCAACAAGATCTAAACTTTTAGAGACTCAATTCTACCAGGAATTTGATGATACACAGTGAAAATCAATCACCCCAGAGTTGAGATCGAACCTGCTTCCACAATGGTAGTGATTTCATGAGTAGGACTGACTAATCAACCACCAAATGGCTACAAGTACTGAATTTGTACAAAATGTTTGGTTACTTGATTTCCATTGGAAATGAATCTTATGGAAAAGCTATAAAGCAATAACAATTCAATTCTAGACAGAACAGTAAACAAAACAAACTCAGGAGTTTAAGGGAAAGGTTTGAGAAAACAGTTGAATAATAGTTGAATAAATAGTTGAATTAACTATTTGAAAAATATTGAAATAAAGAATACTCGACTAAATTTCATCATACCTGATAAGGAGGCGAGGAAGCTGTAGGTTCCATTTCGAATCTCCTTTTTATGATTCAGTTTACTAACTTCTTGGTCCCACTCATCGTCACTGGATATGCTGACATCAATATTCACAGTAGGTTTATCAGCCTTTCTCTTTGTCTGTGTAATAAATCTTGGTTGACTTGTTTCCTCATCAGAGTTACTCGTACTGCTTGTTAGAGACGGTCTAGTTGCCCTCATATTCAAGAATTGTGGAAATTCCATAATCGGAGTGTTTTCTTTATTGGAAGTCAGAGTTTTTTTAGGGGTTTTTGAAATTTTATTCAATGGTTTGGATTCAACGGATGGCACCTTTATGTTATTGATTTTCTTTCTTATTCTCTCTTCTAGAGATTGTCCCAAGTCCGATGAATCAAAATTCTCATTTGGTAAGTCATCTTTTTTGGTATCCTTTTGGAGGACTGGCTTTTTTTGGAAATATTTAGAAGTTTTTGGATCATTTGTTGTCTCATCACTGCTTTCATCACCAAAATCAAGTCTAGTTTTTGGGCAAGCTTTAATTGGAGAATTCTCGGAATTCGTATCTGAATCACACAAAACTTTCAATTTTGAATACAGCGTTGAATGTGCATTCGCTTTCAGTCTTACGTTTTGCTTTAGGTTATTCGAATTGAGCTCATCATCTTCTTCATTCCCCTTCTTGAATAAAGGACGTTTTGGTTTCCTGAAAAAAAAACATGAAAGAAGTAATATCTTTGGATGAAACCAGATCCCAAAAACAAAACATTCAATACTCTGTAGAGTAACTCATTAAAACAAATAAATCTAGTAATTTGGAATATGTCTATTTGTTTACTGTACCAACCTTTCAGAATATAGAATATCTGCCATTCTCGGTTTCGTAACTTTTTTTCTAGGTTCAGTTTTAGGTAAAATCAATTCTTGCTTTTGTCTCCATGAATTTCCATAAAGTTTGTCAAGCATCACTTCTAGGTCTTCACTTTCACCTGCAACCAAGTAGTGAAAACGTTTTAGGATTAGCTCGTAATTTTCAGGATAGTACAAAACAATTAATCCATAACTTGAAATTTACTGCACAATTCCAAAGTAGCTGAGCAAGTGAAAGGGTGTCCAATGATTTTGCACCTTGAGACTAAAGTTTTTGTGTTAATTAATTATCATAGGTAAGGTTACCAAGTCATTTTTTTCATCTACTTGATACCTAGGAGATTGGACTCATAGTTTAGTTTTTGTTGTGAATACTATAAATGTATTTGACAAATTCATTGCTCACTTTGAAACATCACTGTGGAAGTTTGCTTTCGTCATAGTATCTTATAGGATATTTGTATAGCCAACATATATAAGTACTTTGTGCTTTTTAATGTTTCATTGTATTGTATTTGTTTCAAAGTTGTTTAACGAATAGAGTGATGAAATACATTCATAACGTAATAAAAACAAAATATTCATGAATAAAATCACGTTGTGATAAAAGAAAGATTATTTTGAGGTAAAAAGGTACCAAGACGTGCATTTTCTAGGGACCCTGTCATACAAATCTGGCCCTGACTTCAAATCTGATAAAAATTAAATTTCAAATTATTTACTTACCAACTGTTTGTGGAGGAGTTTCAGAAACATTATTTTCATCAACTTTTGATCCGTTCCTAACCTTCATGGTCTTTTCCAATCTTGTTGTCAAACTTTCATTTTGTCTTTCAAAAGAATCGTCTATAACTAAATCTTTAGAAGAAGTAACCACATCTTCATTGTCACCACTCCCCAAGGAGTCATTATTTGAAACGTTCAAGTTTCTATATTTGGTTCTAAAGAGCTCATCAAACCGTTTACAGTCCGTTGATAAGAAAGTAGAATTGACAACAGGTCCTTTTTCCTTTGCAAGGAAATTTTCTCCAGTCTCACTACCGTAAATTGTAGATAGTTCAGTATAAGTTGTGGTATCTTTCTCTTCTTTTTCTGCAGTGACTTTCTCTAACCAGCATGCAATATCATTTACTTTGTCATCGGGCAGAGAATAGTTGTGTAAATTAACTGTATTAGGTTCTTGTTTCTCAGAGGGTTCTGACTCAGAATCAGTTTCAGTGTCAGATATAATAATAGGAGTTTCATTCATAATCTTGAGGTTCCATTTCTCTGAATCACAAGATTCTGTGCTATCTGTACTTTCTAAGTTCAAATCACAATTATCTATAGTTGGCATAGACTTTTCATATAAGGATGATCTTCTTATATTTTTCTTTAAAGCTAATATAGATGCACCTGCAACTGTATTTTCAATTTATAGTACTGTAACTAAAAGAAAGGAAAATTTACAAACCTCTTCTAAATTGTTTTTGGCCAGGTTTCAGTTTATGTTTTATCTTAGGAGACATGGTGCATAATAGCTCAGCAGACTCGTTGAAACTATCCATAATTTATTTAAACAAAGATATTATTTTACCTTAACATCAACTTCAATTTATATAAGGTATGTAAAAATGTAAATGATAATGTATCATGCAAAACAGCAATCTTCATTAAAATGTTTTTTTACATTCTTCCATTCCATTCACCAAACGGAAAATTTCAAATCCACTGAATACCATGTTGCCAAGTTGCCATGTACAGTTAAACTTCGCCAAAAGTTTCTAGTGACAGCAAGCATATCAACTAGACTACTCAAGAACACAATCATAAAAAATCGAAGATAGAACAGACCAACATAACCTTGTTCGATACCTAATTGCCTATTTGATTGAATTTTCCTCATACAATTACTTCAAATCAATTGGCATATATACATAATAATATAATGCATGAAAAATACATATGTACTCTCTCTCAATGTTTTTGGCTGTTGCTCCCATTCAGGCGCATTAAGTCATGTCGATCACGTGATTACAACTTTGTCTGGTTTATACCATAATACCATGTGTTAACCTGTCTTATTTCGCTAGTTATTTGGTTATATATATGTAATTTTTTCAACTTAAACAGAACAGACAGTACGCGCATGTGTAAAGCAAATTAATCTTCCGTCTTCCACTTCTTCTTTTCTACTGAGGCCCAAGCTTCCAGGCCTATCCGGCCAGGGGTTTCATTCCGATGTTATTTCTATATATGGAGCCCACAATAAAGTAGTGCATTTCTGGAGATTGGGAAAAGTGCAATGATGATGATCATAACCAGAAATAGATGGACATAAAATATAAATCGATTCAAATTCAAATATATTTAAAATTCAATAAACGTACATATAAACAATTGTAAGCTCAATAAACATACACACTTTTCAGTTAGAATCAAGGAAGATAGAGCCAATATATAAAACACTACACAACTTAAAATCTACATAAAACAATTTGAAGGAAATCAGGAAAAGTGATTTCCAAGTAGATACTAATAAAATTTTCAATGCTATTCTAAACATGGTTGTAAAATGCATCAACTATCAAATAATAATAATAAGGATAAGACATACCACTGGATTTTCAAATTACTCAAAGTCAGTTCTGCAGTTCCGATGTTCAGCTATTCGGAATGCTCGAACATTTCTCCAGTTTACTCTAATATGGTTAACGGAATGGTTACAAAAATAAGAATAGTTGAATTCACTTACATTCCCTATATACATCAATAACATTATCAAAATCTAGATATGTACAATAAATATTATGAGTAAAGGCACCTGAAAAGCAGTTTGATTGAACCACAATTTGGACGTTAAAGTATCAATTTTTTTTTCTATCACAGAAGACCCATACTCTGATGGTATAAAACTATTATTATAGCCCGTCACTGCACATGTGAATGTTATGACTCATGCTGAAATGCACTTCAGATGTGACTGACAACAAATTAAATGAAATGATTTTATAGTGTGATTCGATGTTTAAAACTTGTCCCCTTCAGTCGTTTAACGAAAAGTTAATTCGATGACCTTTAAAATGAGAAAATACCTACAAAATGTATCAAAAATAATCATTCAATTCATCAGTAATACAAACAACTCTTGTTGAGGACCTCTGTTTGTTCTGAAAGGAATTTTCACAGAAATCCAATATAACTATCAAGGCAACAACTTGATTTTCATTTTTTTCATTTCATTTCAAAAGAACAATTTTTTCAATGACATCACATATGAATGGTGGCAGCAGTATATCTAGCTTCTCCTCTTCTCCAACTCCATTGGCTTGGTCGGTACTGAAACAAAAACTTGGTGTTAATAAACCATTTAGGTTAAGTTGAAAAACAGCGTAGGTTAAGTTGAAAAACAGCACAAGCTGAACTTCGCCTTTCATCGATTGTTACACTGTTTTAAATTTGTAATTATTCGCTGAATAAAGCCGATTATTATATTATTATTCTCTCATTGAATTCCAAATATATGTTAGAAATATGAGTTGCTATGCTAGGCAAGAGATGGCGCCATCAGTAACCTTGATCAAAGAATACAAAGCCCATAGAAGCTCAGGAGTGTCACCCAAAAATTTTAGTGCTCACTCTGACCACCAGAGGGCGATGGTAGTAGGATGTCAGTATTAAATGTGATTACCAACAGAACTGGAAAGCAGTTGCTGACAAACCAGTTGACTCTTTTTAGTTTAATTTTGGCGTACATCCTGACTTCTATATGATCCGGCCGACTGGTTGTCAGCGACTGTTAGCTACCCAATTCTGTTGATATGGTTAACAGATTATAGTGTATCTTTAATCGAAAAATGTTTTAATAAAGGGCTATCAAATAAAAATGTTCTTGACTTATATGAATCAAAACTATAAAATAACAGGAGAAATTTTTAAAAAGCTATTTATGTAGGTACACAACTGATGGTTACATGAAATGTTGTAATCTGAAACATGTGCCAGATGAGTGAAGTACCTATGTAGAATGGCTCAAAGTAGTTACAATTTTTATAAATAAATTGAATACCATCCTGAATATGCATCGGTGGTACTGTCAAAAGTTCCAGGTAATGAAAGACGAAGCCCAAAACTCTAATATTCAACAAGAAATATTGTGATCAAAATTCAAACAGATCCATTTGAGTTGTTAATCCCAGTTTAAGAATTTAGGTACATTTTGAATTCAAATGCACTCATCATTATTTTAATATTATAAAGCAGTGAAATTCAGAATAATTTTGATATGTATACCATATTTCTTATCATGATACCATTATCTATAATTTTCATTTATAAACTAATGAATAATCTGATTGACTGTCCCGAACTACTCTCTCAATTTTATTATCAACTTCATAATTTTTCTGGCAACCCATTTATAGCGCATTTATCAATGTTCTTGTCTTAAAAAGTTATCCTAACCTCAATTTTTTGTGCTTTTTGAAATTCACTGAAAACACATCACACGGGTTAAACAAACTAGTCTTTCAAATCCGAGCGGTTCACTTGGTATTTTATAAACAAATATCTATTGACTTACCCTTATCAAAATTTGCCCACTGGTGGTGTGAGGATTCCTGTAAGCGTAAATGACCCAAAACGCAAGTCCAGATACCATGGCTACCAGAAAAAGTATGGCTAGTACTCCAGATACGCCAACTTTCTGCTTGGCAGAATTTCCAGCCAAAGCCTTAGGTCCATCATTGACATCGTGATTCAACAAATTTGGCTCATCTTGTTGATACGCATGAGGTTCGGAATGGACCGAACACAGAGATTCGTTGATGAAACTGCTTTTATCGCAGCCTAACGCCACCCAATTTTGACGATGTCTATCATATCCTTCTGAACATTTATTCATCAATGGACACCAGCGACACTAAAAAACGGTTTGTTTAAAATATTGAGAATATCATAATGAACATCCAATATAAATTAAGACTAAGAAAAAGTTGACCAACAAGTGTCTGACAGTAATGAACCGTCTGGGAAGTGGGTATAGCCTACACAAAGTCAATCTGAACAGCTAAATTAAGGACTAATGTACTGGGTCTGCTAAATTTACTTGTTAGTACCATATAAAACCTCCCACAAAAAAAATAAATGATCGGACCTCATATGAATAAAAAATACCACGCCGCCCATGGCATACAAAGAAACTGCAGACGTTCGGTAACTGTATAGTTTTTATGCTGTTTGAATTGACTTCATACATACTATATTTCCCGGACCATTTGAGAAAATAGCATTTTCCCAGCCTAGTCCGGGAAGTAAAAATCACATTATTGCAGTTGTGAATATGAAAATCTTAGTAGGTATGGTTGCAGTTGAACATTACCATAGTGGCGAAATAACGACTAACAGCTATTTGGCGTGAAATAAGTTGAAATTTTGATTTTTGAAGGTTTCCATCATTTTTGTTCGCAATTATCGCAATAAACTATTAAAAGCAGCTGCTGCTACAGGACAATTATTGCCTGAAAAACCAAAGTATAGGTACTAAAACCTTTATGATTTGTTCTTTAAATAGATGGATACGAAGAACTGCAAATCTATTACAGAGGATGTGATTTTGGTCTATTTGACGCAAAAATCTGAAACCGTCAAATACTCTAACTATTGGAGCATGTACTCTTTGTTGAAAAGTTCCATTTCAGCAAAGAAAAATGTAAACATAGCCACAGTCTCAAAGGTTACCAAGAACCCAACTATAAAAATTACACAGGTCACATCATTCGTCGAACTTGAGGGACATTATTTGCTGATAATGATAGAAACATCACAAATTCTAAGAGACACGGAGTCTGGACGTCTACCAATGTTGCTGAAGGTTATATTGACAATTCACTTACAGGCACAATGTAAATTGGCAAGACCATTCAAAAATTATCAAATGAAAGCAATCAATGTGAAACAGAAAGTTTACCTTCTTGTTTTGACTTCAGCTAAAGGCAATAAAATATACCAAGCGTTTCAAACAACTTGAATCTCTTCAATATTAGCAATTTCTCAAATATTTCTGTTAGTTTCTACTGATACCCATCTTCTGATCGAATTTCAATATTCAATACAAATGAGAATTAATTGTGTCGGCAATACATCTGAAAACAGTTTTTTTGGACTAGGAATTCTTGTTGACTCGTCCAAAAAAACAGTATTTTCCGGGCTCGTAACGTACATTACCATTTCTTATTTTGAGTTTATGAAAAAAGTACTTTATAAGGAGTTGAAATTAAGAGATAAGGGTTAGATAAAATTTTTGAAGTTCTTAGGCTGCCATTATTGTTTTCATATTTATTATAGCTATAAATTATCGAAGTCTACTTACAGTAACTGTCAGTTCTCTAGTAAGGCACGTTTTACAGTCGTGAGCGTCCTGGCAAGTGGGTAAGGCCTTCAAAATGATAGTGGTCCAGTTTTTGATATATGTTTTGTTGAAGTGGACCCTGTCATATTCGTAGATTGTTTTTCTGCGTACCACTGAAATGAATTATAATACATACCAACAGCAATTATACTTGACAAAATGTTTCAAATGCTACCAACAGAAACTTTTTGAAAAAGTTTGTCTGAAAAAAGTGATGATTGTCTTGGTATTTTACATTTCGACATTTTCACTTAATTCTTTGGTATAAAGTATAAATTGATTTCAATAATTTGAAAATATCCGTAAATTTGTTTTATATTTTGAAAAATGTGATTTAAATATTTCTGCTCAACCAATTCTAGTGAGTTTTTAAACTGTGAACTTCTGTGAAAAGCATGTACCGCTTGTAAACATTCTTCTGACTCAGAGTTCAATCACCATATGTATGCCACTGTCAATATATCTAAAGGTTTTCTGATTTGATCAGAACTGAATGGGAATCAATCTTTGATTATAAAAAGTGAAATAACTGAACTGTTTTTCCAAATCATCATGTTTACTTATATTTCACAGTAAGGCAGTATATAGTATTCTTTTTTTCAATGTGTTTTCATATTAACTTCTGTTTGAAACTGTAGAATTATCATCATGTAATATTTACGCATGCAGTAAAAGAACGATCATGCACATTTGTTCAATAACTTAACCTCTTTTCTATAATACACATGAAACTTATAAATTCAATACTTACAGAATACAGTTTGATCCATTATATACGCATCTGATAATCCAACTTTCACAGGATGATGGAGTTCTTGGATTTCATTTACGAGTAAAGGCACATGCTTGTACACAAAAACGATATCACCGTTTTTGAACAGAGTTACTTGGAAAGTGAAAGAGCCGTCTTCAGGTTTGTCCTGAAGGGTGACTTTTTCCCATTCTACAGTGAATGCGGTTCCATTGTCAACATATTTGATGAAACTGTCATTAGATAAGCTGGTGTCGAAATTGGCCATCAGAGGAGCTATGTATTGGGTTGCTGCCAGCCAAGAGTGTACGTAATCTCCTGTATATAAGAACCCACCGGTTGCTATGGTTACGTTCTCGATGAGATGGCCATAAAATGGAAACTCGAATGATAACTTGACAGTCTGAAAAAATGATTTGTTTGAAAAGTCACCTCATGTTGTGCAGTTACAAAAATTGAAAGAGACTATTAATATATTGAAAAACAACCTTAAAACCTATGGTCTTAAGACCTATGGTCTTAAGACCTATGGTCTTAAGACCTATGGTCTTAAAACCATAGGTCTTAAGACCATGAATGTACAATTATGAGGTTATAATATACAGAATTTTGTGCAGTGCCGTTGCACATTATACACTTACCGCTGCCCTTCTGTGTGACTGAGACAAAAGTTCATTTACTTTAACGTCTGGTCGATTGGTCATGTCAACCCAGTAGATGTGTCCTACGCTAGCATCATCCACAACTGAACTATTGTAAAAATGATTGGAGTCCTGGAAATGATTAATTTTATTCATTTATCTTGATGACAAAGGCATTTTTTTATTCTAGAACGTAATGTACTGTTGTAAATTCTCTACTGAAAGAAAATAACGCCGCCGCTGGTTTTCGTCAATCAATTGTGACTTGGCCAAGGTCACGCTCAACCCCACTTGCGGTTCTCTATAGTTCTAGATGTCGCGTCGCTTCGGGAGGATTCCATAAACTTCCCTATCAGCTTCCAGCGACTTCCATTGCGATATATAAACACTACCAACAGGCAGATGAAGAGCAAGTCTAGTTGATCGTGCGGTACAAAGTGAGCTAATAAAGCAATAGGCATTCGAGTAACAGTCTGAAGTTCAATTGAAGTTTTTGTGTTTTATTAGCAGTGTAGTTGTGAAATAAAGTGAAGTTACAGTGGAGTCAATTATAATCAAACCCACAGGGAAAACGTAACAGTATACTAAAGGTTCTAAACCTCTTAGTTTGCTAATGTCAGATTACCTCTTCAATGATCTTGGGACTTTTTGAAATCAGAATTAAGGCAAGTGTTTTGCAGTTCAGACAACAAAGTTGCTGTAAATTACTAACAAATACCTGACATCTTATTAACAAGTTTCCATCATTGAAACTTCTCTTTCGTGCGATTTATCGACGGTTCACAATCAATGGAATCGACAGAGACCTCAATTCTCGACATCAACCGTCGGCGAAATTCTTCCTGACTCTCAATGCAGCTTTCACAGCCAGGCAACTAGTTGTAAAGTAGAGCCATAGGTCTCAGCAGTGCTGTTAGACTGAACCACGGATGCATTGCGGTGTTTCGACTCGCCGTAGGTCTCATCAGTGATGTTAGACTCAACCACGAATGCATTGCGGTGTTTCGACCCGCCATAGGTCTCATCAGTGGTATTAGACCGAACCACGAATACATTGCTGGACTCAACTGTCCTTAGAGGACTGACTGACTGACTTCAACACGGCTCGACCGCGTATATGAAAACTTACTTTCAAAATACGAATTTTAGTATTCGTATGAAACAGGAGCAACGATTTCAACTGTTAATTCAACTGTTTCTCAGTTTTTATGCCTCGAGAGGAATAATGACTGTAAGACTGAAGACTGCCTAGCATTCAACTTGTTCATCGTTTTTCGTACCGAGGGAAATGATCCATATTATTTTGATGATTAAAAGTACATAAAGGCATACAATCAGAGATATTCAGGAAAGAGAGGGTAAAAAGGTTGAATGTCAATGCGTACTTTATGAAGGAAAAAAGAAATAATCTTTTTAAAAACATGAAAAAATAGTAAATACATTCATTTTCTAAACTAATAAAGTAGATATTTCGAACGAGACTGAAAAATTTTCGAAGTATTTGAAAAATTTCTGTGGCGACGACCTGGTATGTGAACTTGTCCTGGTTGGAGGATAAACAGACTCACAACTTGTTTTGAAAACATGATTCAGATAATATAATATAATGAATTCTTTAAAACTGGTTGACATTGATTGGGGCAATTAATATTTTCCAATGTGTTTCGAACAAAATGTTTACTACACGATTTGCAATGCTGATATTATTGTAGAAGATAGGCTAATCATGACGGCAAGTTTGAAGTACTGATTTTGCACTACTTTCTCCTTATTGAATTCTTATCAGTAAATATTTATTAACTTATAATTGGGAAAATCCCAATTTAGATTACAAAAGTATTAATAGCCTACTTCCATGAAGAGAGAAAATTATCAAAGGTTTTCCGTACCTATATCTCTTCAAAGAACACTATCATTTATTATTAATGCTCATTGTGAAGCTAATTTTCTGGTGTATTTTTCAGTTCAAAAAGTAATAGTTCCGTACGACTAAGATACATGATGGTTTTTCAGTTTTTTGCTATTACATTTCAAGACTTTATTCTTGTATTTTCCAGAAGAAATTTTCGAAAAATTACTCCATGAACTTGTGGATGTGGCAATGAAATGAGTGAAGATTGATAATCTCTACCAGTAATACGATATCACTTATTGCTATTCAACTATTCTTCAGTTTCATATAGTATTCAATATTTTAAATAACCGGTATTTGCGTCTTCACTCACAGTGAAGTTAGCAAATTTTTGGTAGTGAAGGAAACAGCAGCACTTGTTTCAGTGAAAAAAAATGTACACATTTTGCAGATTGATGTAAGACACCAGAACAAACTTAACAACTCCGAACAAGTGTGTCGTTAATCAAGTTAGCATCATCCGGACTTGTTAGGTTTGTTGTGGTGTCTTACATAAATCTGCAAATTGAATGATGCCAACTTGTTTTTTGTTCTGGTGTGGAAAAAGTGTTTTTGATGAAATAAAAATCGATATTTCCTTCTCTTATTGGGCACTCTGGTAACATATTCGAAAGATTGCATCTCAACTTTTGATAGAAACATTCAAAGTGAAAAAGCAAATGTCCTGAGAGACATCTCGTAAGTTTCTGAAGGAGTTTGAAAAGAATTTAAACAAGATTTCCATGGCTGGGATTGAATCAAATAATCGTATGGATGTCTTCACGTAATGTCATCATGACATAAGAAGATATGACGAAATTTGAAGAATAAAGTAGTAAGGATATGAAAGAAAAGAGTAAGTCTTGTAATATTATTCAAAATAGTGCTGATGAAGTGATAAGACAGGTGTCTTGTTCCAAAACTTCTAAGTCCACCATTGAGGATGATTGTGTTCCATGTAAGTGATGATAATGTTCCTATGAATGATATCTGTTTCAATTCCATAATGTCTGCAATACAAACTGAATAGGAAATATCGATTTTCTTATAATTCAAGTTTCATATGAAAATAGTCATTTCTAAAGTACTTTTTCTTTCGTGTAATTCAAAGTTGATGTGAAAGTATAGGGTCTTCCAACAGGGTTACATCTGTCAAATTACGATAGGTTGGCAACCCTAGTGTTGCAATCTGACAACTGACAGCTCTATCGCCTAACTATAAGCTCTGAGCTTATACGTACTCAGAACGTTGACATAAGCGCGCTATTTGTGTTGTTTACAGTAACTTAAAAGATTCATCTCGGCCCAAAAATGGAATTAAATGGTGAACATATTCGTGCCATTATTTTGTACAACTTTCGGCGTGGATTAACTCCGCAACAGTGCATGGATGAACTGATTTTGGACGACTTTCATGAAATTCGTCTTGGACTGAACTACGACCATGACTGAATTCACCATGGGGAATATTTTGAAAAACAATTAATATTTGTTTTTGTTCTCTAATCCCGAAATATAAAAGGCAACCCTCGTAGTTGTCATTTATTCAGTCTGTTTTGCCAAATCACACTGGATCGATATACCACTCAAGAACACGTGCAAATAATAAAATTGTTGTATCAAAATGGGTGTTCTGTTCGGGCAACGTACCACGCGCTTCGCCCATTCTACGGTCGCCATAATTTGTCCTACCGAGAGGACTATTCGCAAGGATAAATTTGAGTCCACTGGTTCAGTAAACGATCGACCAACACTCGTACGTCGACGAAACGCAAGATCTATCGCCGCTGTCTGTGAGAGTGTGCAGGAGAATTCAACATAGTCAATTTCGCGTCGCTCACTAGAACTCGGCCTTTCGCAGACCACAACTTGGCGAATTTTGCGTCGTGACTTGGGCCTCCACCCGTAGAAAATTCAACTGACCCAGGAACTGAAGGTAAACGACCATAGACAACGACGTGTGTTCGCTGAGAGGGCTCTGGAGCAGTTGGCAACTGGAGAATTGGACTTTTCCGATGCGCTCCACACAGAGAAGCTGTGGCGGACATTTGGCATCAACAGGTCTGTCAAACGAATAATGATGATCTGTATCTGTAGAGTAGGTGGGGTGAGTGTAAGCCCACAGCACTTAGGCCATATGTGACCCATTGTAAACCTACCGAGGAGTTGTCCTACTAGGTCATCGTGCATCCTGTCCTTTCCAAGAAGGTGGACAGGTCACTTGGAGATATCTCCTTTATATCGGCAACCAAGACTCGCCGATCACACACTCTCTTATTGACGATAACTCCAGGCACTCGCATAGGACATGCCTGACAGTCTCATCTTCCTGTTCACACATCCTGCATAGAGGTGTGTCCAGTAGCCCCATATTATGGAGGGGTTTCCTTAGTTGACAGTGGCCAGTCATAAATCCTACTGTTAAGCATATATTTTTCCTGGTCATTGCCAGATATTTCTTCGGCGCCAATTTCCCAGGGTCGCCCAGGGTGATCATGGCAAGATTGCATCCTTTGATTCCATCCGATCTCTTTAGGGATTGAGCATGGGTGTAACATTTGGCTAGTTCCGCAATTGTCGAAGTCATTAGGCCCTAGGTGCCACTGGATCCTAAAATTCTTAGGCCAGCTGCTTCCTTGGCTAAAGAGTCGGCACTGCGATTACCTTTACTCCTGCCGTGCCCTTTAATCCACCTCAGGATAATGTTATTATCTACCGAGGCTACTACAGCATCATCAAGGATCATATGGAAAAACATCCTACCTACAATTTCATTTCTGAGAAGTACACGACAGAAATTAGGGCAGTGGTAGCAGACTTCGAAATTCGCTTTAGCGATTTCAAAAAAATTGAGAAATTGGTTCAATTCATCAGTTATCCGTTTAATGATTCCATTGATCATAGTGATATCTATGAATTGACTAGAAAATTCGCAGATATAATTCAAATGGAGCACATGATGTTACAAAACGAAATTATTACTCTGAGCTGCGACATATTTCTAAAAAGCAAGATTTCTGGGCATTGTTTCCAACGAAAAATATCCAAATTTGAAGAAATGTGTTGAGAACAACTTCATTCGTGTTTTGGTTCAACATATTCATGTGAGTCAGCATTTTTCTACTTAAAACAAACAAAAAATAAACACAGTTCTCGCTTGACACAAGCTCCTACATTGGATTCTTTAAGGTTGGCAATTTCCAACTACAAACCTGATTTTGCTAAACTAGTGGAAGATACTGCGACGCAATGCTTACACTAATATATAGATAGGACCTATAAATGTTGATTAAACATCAACTCAGACTTCCATTCCAAAGTTTTAAGTAAATTTAAGGAAACAATCTTATATGACGAAAAGGAACTCCCAAGACTGTTCAATAAAAAATGTTTTATGATTGTGTACTAAACACTATGCTGTTTCATTTAAGATTTCAAGAAGTATGTAAGTGGTAGATCGCACAGGGTTACGTTAGTAAACAGTAGATCTTATGTCTAATCAAGTTGGTAACCCCTGCTACAGTTGTTTCGAAAGGGCTTTTACTTCCAGTCTGTATTTGAAAGTAACTTCTATGCATGATTTGCACATCCCTGTTACCTAAAAATTCAATTCAAACCATCATACATTCTTCCTTCCTTCAGAGATTTCCCAATTTTTTAATAAAGATGGAGAAGTAGAAGCCGGAAAAATGTTTTCCCATATTTATCCCGCAGTTGAATTTATACTTACCGTTTTCAAATTAGTTATATTGTGATTTGTCAAGGATTGGTTAAATTTTCTACCGCCTTCTTCTGTATCAATGTCACTAGGATATTTTGGTATACTGAAATCCTTGTCGTCTTCGTCGTCGTCGGCATCGTCGGTAGCATTAACACCATCAATGCTTTTGATGTTATGAAGTAAAGGCAGTACAGTAGTAACTGAAGTGACGTTTCTGCGAATGCCGGTTCCATTCTCGCCGAGATTTTTCGCGAAGGTGTTTCTCAGAACAGTCGAGAAATTACTGCTAGCAAGTACAGGACCGGATTTCGGTGGCGTACTCACTACCTGAAAATAAAATACAGAAAGTGAGTTCAAATGTGAAACTTTTCAAGAAACTTAAACTGTTGACGAAGTTAATCTACGAGGGTGGTCTCCGGGAGATTTGAAACGTGGCCCTAAGAGCTTGGGATACGATGAGCGCCCGGAACGTCTAAAAACTGCAACTATCGACGATAACATCGCTAAAATTCACCAAATGGTACTAGACGATCGCCGAATCAAAGTGAGAGAGATAGCAGAGGTCTAGATGGGCTAAGAAGACGGTTTCGCTGAAATTTCCTTCGGCGTTTTCAAGTCTACACCAGCTAAGAAAATTTGAATATGCGATGTTGTACTGCTGAGCCAATTTTTTTTTGTAACAATTCAATCGAAGCTCTTTTTGCAGCCTCTTCAATATCGACAGGAACACACAATTCCTCACTATTGTTCTTCATTATGCAAGACATTAAACACCAGCAAGAACTCTAAACGTGACATTAAATAAAACGCGTGAACTGTAAACAATACTGTTTGTTTATCTATTTTATTATGAAACAGGACAGTTGTACAAAAAACTTCGCTCGTTTCGCAAACTTTTTCACTCACAAAATAAAACATTACTATTAACACTCATATCATAAATAGCTTTCAACGGCAGCAGTCTACTTGTATTTAGGTACTCAGTACAAGAGATACTAATCAAACATAACAAATGGCAGAATTCAACGTCTGCGCATGATAAATCAAGGCAGAAATTGCTCTTCCATCCAACCAGTAATAGAAACTTATATTAATACACATTATTTGCAATCGAACTTAATGAAAAATAGAAGAAAAAAAGAAAAGAAGGGAGAGAAGCGGAAGAAAGAGTAAGAAAAGCAGAAAAGAGAGGCAAAAAACGAATAAATGAGAGTTTGATGTTCTATATGTGAGAAAACATGTCACAAACATAATGATAAATTTGATGATTTCTACATATTTATGATATGTATATGTGTCAACTGATCAATGTTATAAAAGAAGAGAACCGGATTGTAGCATAAATCTCTTCAGATTTTTCTTGAAACTAAGTAGTGGTAGGGATTTCAATTCAATGGGTAGCTGATTATATAAGCGAGCAATGTTATAATAAAAAGATCCTCGAAAAAGAGAAGTTTTATGTTTAGGTGCAGTCAATGCAAATAAATAAGTGTATGTTTTTTAAGTAGAATACTTGTATTCACAAGAAATTTTTTTTTTCAAAATGCTAAAAAAAATTATTTTTTATAATCAAATGATTAATTAATCATCATCTTCATCACGAACGAGTCTCTGTGATCAGCTGTGATGGCGTCATGGCAACAGAATTCAGAGTGGTGACGGAGTGAGAGAGTAATAGATAGAGAAAAAGTGAAAAAGGAATAGAGGAAAGACGATTTTCGTTATTTTGGCTTGCGGAAATCGTCAATTATATATTTTTCGTTATCCTTGAATTATTTCCTTCAGAATAAAGAAAATTAGCTACGCTCGACAATGTCGAAATTTTTTCACAACTTTGCTGCCCCCCCCTTTCTTTACGTCACTCTCAAATTGTCAGATTACTGGAATATACACTTTTCAGCGTGTAGTTAACTCACCCTACCTTAATCTGACGCGCTCGAGAATTTCTGATGATCATTTTTTGTTATAATCTGATCCTTTATCCTTCACGGGCGGCCTTATATATGGGGCTTATATTTGGTGGAGGTACTCAACCGGGTACAAGATATCCCCCTGTATATTAATCTGCCGCGCTTTAGTAAATCTCCAAATCCCCGCTTGGGCTTCCCTATTATGAATAGGTAGGCAGGTTTCCCAGTGGACATGACCTTATGGAATAAACTAGCAGAATGTAGTGTGCGCCTAGCATCTATGTTCAGCCACCCGAGTTGTTCCAAGTATTGAGACACATGCCCACGTCTCCTTACGCCTGTGACGAGTCTTATGCACGAATTCTGCAGTTTTTAAATTCTCTACCTGTCACATTTCAAGAGTCCTGGATCATAAATAGTATCAGCATAGTTGGCTTGTGATAGTACCGGTGCGTTGCAGAGTAAAATTTTATTTTTTTTTTGTTCAAAAGATTTTTACTCGAGTATACTAATTTTAGATTCATATAACCCTTCCTAAGAATCTGAGAAATATGTATATTTAAAGTAAGTAAAAGAAGGTGATATGGTTAAGGCAAACACTCATATTTCGGATTACCATGGGGGGGGGGGTATTGTTGAGACCGAAAGGGACCGTCACAAGATATTTGCCTTGGGGCCCGGAATTCTTTTTGGCGGGCCTGCCTGTATTTTATAATCAACCACAACTTCTAGTCGTCTAATAATTGTTGTGTATCGTGAAAGATATTTTATTATCACGTATGAACACATGGCTACCAACTGTGCGAAGGTAGCCTCTGAAAATCGGTCAAGCTACACAGGTCAGAATATGTCACTACCACATACCGTCGCTGATTTCAATGAAAACTCCATTTTCTTCGAAGAAGTGTTGGAACCTGTGATACTAAGGACGATGAATAATTAAAAAAATAAATCATCGAGTGGATTTGATGATATAACAGTGAAAGCTCTGTAATATGCCATCCCAACAATATCGGGCATTCTAGTGAAGCTCATGAATAAATCAATATTTGAGGGAGTTTTTCCTGAAGTCTGGAAAACTGCAAAGGATATACCAATACAAAAAAAGGTTCCCAAGTAGATATTGACAACTATCACCAAATTTCATTATTAAGTGTGCCATCAAAACAACTAGAAAAAATAGTTGCAAATAGAAATGTTCTATTCCTTGAAGAATACAAAATCTTATCTAATCAACAACATGGCTTTAGAAAAGTTAGATCGGTTGAAACAGCTATCGCTAGTAAATTTGAGCTCATTTACAATAACATTGATAAGGGAAAGTATGTAGGCTCAATCTTATTTGATCTGGCGAAAGCATTTGATTCAGTAAGAAATGAAATTATGATCAGCAAATTGTACAACATTGGTATCAGAGGATTCTTACTTGAATAGATTAAGTCATTCTTATCTGACAGAAAAATGGTTGTGACTCTGAATAACACTGCATCACATATTCAAGATATTATGCTTGGTGTACCACAAGGTTCAATATTAGGACCGCTGCTGTTTTCAATATACATAAATGATCTCCCGAAATATATCAAACATGGTTACNCATGTCTAATATAATGATCTGAAAGATGAATAAATACAACAACAACAACACATAAAAGGACCAGCTTGGAAATTGGAGCCATCCTGTATAAATAGGCCTGACTTTAATCAGCGGGCAATAAATAACCCCCCAGACACTGATACCTCTTTGCTATTTCCTACCTTCTGAGTCACCGGACTGCTGAAGTTTGCGATGGGCGTTGATGGCTTTTCCGTTGCAGACAAAGATGTCGTCACATTCGCACTGACTGTGACGTTGCTGGTATCCCTCTTCTTATGATTGTGAATCGTCTGGTCTAATAATTTTATCACTGGTGGCGTTTCCGACGCTTTTCGGAAGGTGTCGATTTGATAAAAATTATAGTCTGAAACAAAGAATGATATGGTGAAAATAGGAATATATTTTTTCTTCAATTCAATAAAAAACAAGGACACTCCTTTTGAGCTTTCAGTTATTAGAATCATTCTTTTTGAGATATTCATTAACTAAATGTACTTCATGAGAACAATTCATACTGAGGCCTAATTTTGGAATGAAGTCAAGAAAATAACAAGGAATTACTATAAATTCCGGAAGGCATCATATGTCTCCGGAAGACATCAGATGTCTCCTGTAGTGTATTACAGAAAACTAACTTCAGAGCGCTTCCTATTGTTACTTTTTTCCCCGTGGGTTGACCAATAATTGATTTCACTGAACAATAATCAAACTCAACTTTATATTTCTCTTCAAAAACAACAAACACTTCAACTTAAATTTCAACTATTACTCGAATGTCTATCGTCTTACTAGATCGCTTCGCGTACCGCACTGTAACTTCCACTTGACTGTGTCGATATGCTCGTGGCTAGCGTTTATATATCGTAATCGAATGCGGTTGAATATTCTAGGAAATTTCATCGAAATCGGTAGCATTATTCTCGCTCCATCTTGAGCGACAGCGAACAGCGNGTGACAATTTCTGCCGATCGTTCACATTTCGAGCTTTTTGACCTCACCAATACGTTTTATACCATCAAAAACCGCATTGGAGCTGACGCCCAGTTCTTCTGCCATCTCAAACACCGTTTGTGATGGGCCAGTCTCCACCAAGGTCCTCAAATCCTCATCCTGGATTACTGTAGGTCGACCATTTCGGGGCTCATCCTCGAGGCTGGAATCTCCGGAACGAAATTTCGCAAACCAACGTCCAACAGTGCGTTCATTAACACTTTCATTGCCAAATGCCTGGTTAATTTTTCGGGCTGTTTCAGCAGCGCTTTGGTTCAATTTGAATTCGTAGAGAAAAACTGGGCTTGGATGAAGTAACCAAAAACAATGCATTTTTTGAAAGAAAGCTCGCACAACCTTCTTTGAAGTGCTTGAAAATTAGTCCACTTTCACCTGCAGTGGAGAAGGGAGGTTCCATCGATTTCCTAAGGATGTTTTATGAAGTAAATATAGAACGATTACTGTGGTCTTCCTGGTGTTTGGATCCCAAATACCAAGGAGAAATATCATCGCCTATTCATCAAGGACAGTTGAGTCCAGAAATGAATTCGTGTTTCAGTCTAGTACCACTAGACGGTTTGAAACAGCGCCATCTGATGTTAGAACATAAATGCTTTGTTTTTGTCTAGTTGCCTTGAATTTCGTCGATGTCGAAGCTTTGCTTTGCAAATGGCTATCTTGAGAAGCTTCTTTGATTTTTTCAAGTTGTGGGGTTTCTGCTGATCTGTCTTCGTAAAGATGACTCATCATCGTCTTTACTTACTGAGGCCCAACATGACCAACATGTATGGGACGGATATCGGGAAACTAATCAATTTGGTCTATCTCTTATCTCCAAGCGACGCGACAGGTTAAAGGACCTAGATAGGCAGCAAGTCTTGTGGCAATATACACTGTATTGGTGGCTATATTGTAAAACTTTTCTTCCAGAGTTGCATCGTCCTGTATTGATGAACGATACGAAAAAAATCATGTGTACCCAAAACACCCTAACCGATATTCCATATACAGAAGTAATGATCATAGATTCTTTAACAAATAGAACTCTTTTTTTCATCTTCATCAAAGTTGCCAACAAGAAAAACTCTGAGATAACTGAGAAAATAGCGACCACCTGAAATTCGGATTATCTTGATATCAGTGTAGGTGTTCCTCAAGGGTCAGTGGTGGACCCAATGGTGTTCCTAATATATGTTAATGTCACCGTTAGAGCGAACCCATCTATAAATTCCACTTGTATGCTGACGATACGTCCATAATAATTTCGGAACAATTTAATCATTCTCTAAAAAAAGAAGTGATGGACTTCTTTCTAATCTCTATGACTGGTTCTGCGTGAATTCGCTGCGTCTGAATGCAGAAAAAACTCATTCAATACGTTTCCATAAAAAACAAAAACAAATGCCTACCATTCATGTAAATATTAATAATAAAGTTTTGGGAAATGTATCATGTGTAAGATTTCTGGGCCTGGAGGAGACACTGTAAGTCAGCATTCAGATACATGAGATCAATTTTGACGGAGAAACAACTGATAATGTTATAGGTATACACAGGTCGAATCCCGACTAAGATACGGAATATGTTTCATTGGTGTATTCATATCGCAGAAAAAATTGATTCGTTCTGTCGCTGGTGTCTTTGATAGCTCTAGTTGTAGATATTTTTTTGAATTCATCAAATTTCAACCTTGCCGTGTTTGTACATATTTTAAGTGTGCATTTTTGTATTTTGTAATTGTAACTGTTTTGAAACGGATAAGCAAATTCACACTATTAATACAAGAGAGCGAAATGACTTACATGTGCCATTTTCAAGGACTAATTTTTTATACAGGTTACCCACTGTGACTGGGAAAAGATTGTTCAATAATGATCCGGTCGAAATTGAATAATGCATATAACTTTGAAAACATTCAATTTTTTTCGGAGTATGTCTTAAAAGGTGGATTTTATTCCTTGGAAGAGTTTTAGTCTTAGTTTTTAGTTTTATTTTGTGACAAATTCTACACATGTATCAGCATGTCTTTAAGAAAATAAAGTATTATTATTATTA